TGTAATATCAATATTTGTACTGACTTCCTTGATGGCAATTTCCAGAATGACGTAGTATATTATTCGTCACACTATTCTCCAATTGTAATCAGATAATATTATGTATATGATAATAAAGAAATAAAATAATTGTGTCCAATGAACAATACCTATATTTTTTATAGCATAGACTGACAAAGGATCAGCCGGATGGTAAACATTCGATGTCACCCATGGACCAACGGTACAAGTGCATGGTATGGTTTTGGTCAAAGTGACAAATGCCAAAAATAAATTATTTGTGTTGCATTTAAGGTGCATGTTATTTTTACCGATTTATTTATGATACGGTTTACAGCCATTTTGAAAATCTAAATGCGTTCATCAACTTTTGATACTGACTGTACCTGTTGGGTGCGAGGTATTTGAGAATGAGGGATTTGAAAGATTGGGGAGGACAGGCATTGGACTTCTAGTGATCTCATTCACAACGCAAGCGTTGCTTTACGTCGATATAAAAAGAGTACTTACTTTTCTTGATTCTTGTTCCACAACTACAGGGTAAGGTCCCAATGGAGTGAAGCCACTGTTTTCAGGAGCATCTCCATTTAACAGCAATGTGTGACTATGCCCTCCAACTATGATATCCACATGAGGACCAGCGTGCATGGCAATTTCTCTGCAGACATTATTCAATTACTATTGGTTGCCAAGTTTCACATGATAGCAAGTATTTAAATGAGCATTGGTGGGCAACCAGCTGCTGCGCAATGTGTCGCGGGTTCGATTTCAGCATGGAACAACTCTTATTGATAAACAAGTTGTTTTTTCAACAATATGTTGTCTGGGTATGTTGTATTAGTGAATTTGTTTGTTGGTGCACACACCCATATCCCATGACGTAGGAGATAATTACTGTATAAGTCCACTATCGAATGCAGATCTATCTCTAAATCACTATCTAACCAAGTAAATTACACAAAAAAAGAGAATAGAGACAGAAGAAGGGGGAAATCGATACTATGAAGAATTTCTTAATATCTATTCACCCCTCTTCTGTCTCTATTCACTTCTCGATCCCTATCCACTCCATTTTACGGTCCTTAAAAAGTATTTTAATGTAGTTTAAATGTATGTAAAATAAGAGAGTTAGGAAGAAGAAGAAGAATTTTGGATATTGCATAAAATGAGGCATCTGCAGATGACCTCATATCATCAGAGGTATAAAATGGAAAACAAGATTGTGAATAAATATATATGTGGTCTGTATTCTTGTACACTATAATATGAAGACGGCTTGAAATCTTACCTGTCGATATCCAGACCACAGTGGGATAAAACAATGATAATATCGACGCCCTGGGCGTTCAGTTTCTCTGCTTCTTCTCTAACGGCCTCAACTTCATCAGTGAATCTAAGTCTACCAGTTGAAGCTAATGTCTGAAATATTAAATAGTTATTTTAACATCTTCTGAACTTAGTACGTAACGTTATAGCGATGAGAGATAAATATTTTTTTTTGTATCTATTATCATATTACGTCATATTGACACGACTCATGAAATGTGGCTATGTCAATAATCCTATTAATTTCTAATTCATCATCATGAACAGCCTACAAGTGCCCACTACTGAGCAAAGTCTCTTCTCATATTGGGAAGGTCTGAGCATTAATTACCATGCTTTACAAGAAATTATAAACTTAATCTTAACATAACACATAACATAACATCACCCCTTTTGTCCTCGAAGGTGTAGGCAGAGGTGCATATTACGGCACTTAATGCCACTGTACAATGTAACGCCCATTTTTAACTATTTATGAGTCTCATGGAATAGGGGGCAATCCGATAGACTGATTGATTGAAAATTAATCAATTTAAAGTGACTTTATTTCACATAAAATAAATAATATTTTACTCACGTTAGTGGTGGCTATTATAACACCAATTATTCCAATTCTTCGTTTATTTTTTGTAACAATGATACTCTTTTCATATAAACCGTGCATTGTAGGTTCTAAGTCATCGATGATGTTAGCAGTTACCACTTTGGAGTCTAAATGTTGCAAGTATGGAACAACTCCAATAATACCGTTGTCAAACTCATGATTTCCTAGTACCTGAGAATGTATTATTTTATTAGTTGTTAGCTGTATCTACCCACAACTTTGTCCGCGTTTTTCCAATGTAAAATTAACCTAAGTTACTCCTTATTACATTCACCCTGCTTATAAAATCGGTCGAACCACTTCAAAAATTAACCAGTATAAATTTACATACAAATAGACAAAAATTGTCAAGTGTTTTTTGCCATATGTACCATTTGTATATGTTTATGTTATAAAAAATGTTTGTCAATTACAAACAGACACTCATATTTTATTTATCTGTATTTATGAATGTTTATGTATACCTAATGTCTGAGAATTCTTGAAGTTTTATAAAACTAGTTTATACAATGAAAATCAATGGAATCAATTTCTTCTTCGTCAAGTCATATCATTTTCTAAATTCCCTACTGGCAGCTTTTGCTTAAGAGTGACTTCTGACTCTTAAGTTTCTCTGCTGAACAAAGTGTCTCCTCTATTTAAGAGGGTTACCCATTATTTCTATGCTTGGAGATTTATGTTATTTACCCATGGATGGAGATCGGGAGAATAAAAAATAATTTAGAGAACGCTGCTGCCCGGTCTTTGCTTAACGCTCTGCCCTTAGCTAACTCAGGGACTACACACAATAAATATAAATCTACTCTAGTACATCACACGATATGACTTCAAATGAGCTAGTACAGTGTACGGTTCACAGTAAACAAATTCTTACATGTGCATCATGAGGGAGCATATTCATAAAGTCCTTTGTAACCTCCCATCGCAGGATATTGTACCAAATTGTACCCTGGAAGCTGTCTCCAGCATTGAGAAGAAGGGAATCTTTTTCAGCAGCTAGACGTTCACGAACCAATGTAGCTAACCGGGCGAAACCACCGATGCAGGGAGCAACATTAGGGTTACAAATATTACCAGCTGGGCTTGTTTCAACGAACCTGAAAGATTACACTTATATGAAGAGGTCTTCCTATCATTTTTGCTCCATTACATTAAGTGCCTGTTTCACTACCTTTATACAAATATCCGATAAAATTATGTTCATATAAATCACATTCTTAATTCAAAATCTAAAAAGAATGTTAATTGCAGCATCAACTATCCAAGCATTGTAAAATAGGCCTATAATATCAGAAATTATTTCTAACAAACACGTCATATGAATTCTTTGTTTTATGATAGTATATTAAATTAATATTATCTTGTGTTAAACAAACATGCTATGCGTGTTCAGTGCGTGAGGACCAACACGAGACGATGTGTTCAAACTTCTCGTATCAATTATATATTTATTTCCTTATTGAACAGTAATACTTTAAAGCTGTTTATCACTTCTAATCTTTAAGAAATCAATTACTAATCTTCATCATCGAATAATTGCAATATTATGATGCACGTTATCTACCCAATCCTGAATAATTTTACCTTATATCAATTTAATGTCACTTTTATCAAAATAAATATTAATCCTTTCTGTACTTATTACAACGTAGAGTACATCCCCAATTATTTACACCAAAAAAAATTACTTTCGTTAACCTAAGCTACTAAGATTGCAACTTTCTGAAACTACATAATAGAAATGAAATTACAAATGATAATATCAAACCGCTCCCGGGAAAGTTTTGTATCACATTTTTTCCCGATCAGGTTGCGAGTGACAGTGTATTTTATTCGACTATATGTCAATTGTCTACATGAAACAACTGCCTGCTATAAACCAATATGAAAAATACGTCTTGGTCAACACTAAGGCTTACTGTTTACGAAAAATAATTTAAATCCTAAAAATGACGATCAGCGGCTTGCAATTGCAGCTTCGTGGGCAGTTTATAATGTTTCCAAACGAGATGCAAGCATTTGTCGTTTGTAGGCCACCTATTGACCTATGGTATTATACATTCTTCAAGTGACGCCTTTTGTGCAGTCGGCCTTAGTCTTACCTATATAGATTGTCGTAACATTCTTGGCTACGTCTGTTGAGCACCTCCTATTGACATTTATAGTAGCAAAAACTGATAGATTTATATCGTCGTCGTGGCATCCATTTTAAAAGTCTAAGGTTTACTTAGTTGAAAGACGTTTGTTTAGAATGTGAGATTTGTGTGATAGTCCTTAATACTGACAATATAAGTACGAAACTGTGTGACATTATTTATTACGTTTTCACAAAAAAAAAAAAATACTGAAAAGATGTACATAAAATATAATTTGGAGAAACACATAATGTAAGTCACTTTTTGTCAGAAGCGTAAACTTCGGAGCTCATGACAAACTCATCGAATAGGCTCCCAATAAAAACAAAGAAGTTCTGATGACTAAGTTGCAGCTCGCTTCATTTTGTCGACTTGCCACCCCGTAATTATGCCACTGCTTTTTATAGTTGTAAATAATTTATTTCAATAACACATACATACCTTGCATGAAAATCATTGTAGTGAAGAATATTTAGATCATAATTTCCCGACACATTTTGAACTCCACACAAAACACAATAAGAAAATAAGAATAGCAGTAGCCGCGACATTTTCACTAATCTAGCACCACCAGTAATATCCTACGTCTAAATAATAGCAATAAATCAACACAAAATTTAAATAGATAAGATTAAAACATGATAAACACAATGAAGTACACGTTAATATGAATATCAATAATAATGATTGAGATAAAGCGATTTGTGATAAGTACTAATTATAAGGAGATCTGTGCCAAAGAAGTAATTCCGGTAAAACAACAATTTCATTAATTTATATTTTTGACTCAATCAAAAAGACAGCAAACACACAAGTTACTCTGAAACACAACAATTTAAATATAGTGTAAATACATTCTACACACAACACTCTCTTGGTATCTTTTTGTTACTGAAATTGGAACTATATTAACAGGAGATAAGATTATCATTTATTAACAAATTAGTTCAGTAAAGCAACTATCGGTCAACCGGTCAATTGATTAACTGACTTACATAAAATTCAGATGATAGGAAAGTGGATCATTTGAATCATCCTTATTTTGTACATTGAAATTCATTCATGAGTATTTTAAAAACTGAGATGTAATTTTACACAAATAAATGTATACAATGCAATGAAAACAATATTTCTTTTTAAGAATAAACAACAATTTTATTAATGCGAATACGAAATTTTATAACAACGTATAACGTATTTTGGAAAACTTCATAATCATAAATATCCTATGACTCTGGTTGGCAGAAATTGTTGAAAATTAGTCGACCTTCGTTCTCAGCAAAGACTGGTGATTGATGGCCTACATAAGAAGACAGGATATCGTAGTCAACTCCAAGAACCTCAATATTTTTGCGATTGTCACTGATCATCTGAAATTAATCGAAGAAAAAATTACAATCAAGTCTCAACTTAGTAAAGAAGAATCTGTTCACCTATTACACATATATTATGATTGTTTTTTTTAATGATAATGCCAAGGATACACTAAGGGCCAAATGTCTTGCGACACGTGTCGTCAGCGACGTTGGGTGAAGTAGTGCGACGTTGCCGGACTTTGGTCGACATGTGTGGCAACATCAACGTTGCAGTGGACATAAATCGCTATGTATGTCACGCAAAATCGGCCGGCTTCGCTTGACATGTTGCCGATACATGTCATATTATGCGACATTTGTCCCCTACGGTATCCTTACCTTGATGATTAAAAAATCCACACAACAATAACGGTGAGTCATCTTTGATATTTTTAAAGCAAAAGACAGTTTAAATATGAGTATTGAAATTAATAAATGTTTATTTAATGAATTTCACACACACATTTTTATTCATAAAAAGAAAATACAAAACGCTGGCAAACATGTTACTTACACTATAACCATCTCCGCCATTTGCAATGAAAGACTGTGACACCACCTTGTAGTATTGGTCGAGCTTCAATGGTTCGTACTTAGGGACGTCACACTCGATACATCTCACTTGCACATCAACCACCCTTGAGTTTACTGGTCGAGAACCATCGAAAGTTACGCGCAACCCTGTAACATTAAACAATGTCGAGAAGAATGTAAGGTTAATCTGTGTATATAGCAAATCCCTTATCACCAGTTCATCAATGATGCTCTTTTACACCAGCCTATTAGAAAAAAACAACGAAGAGCTAATTGGGATGATGACAGGGTATGAAAATTAAAAATAAAGTTAGGTAATGAAGGAATATTAGACACGTATTTTTTTTATTTTGTCGTAAAATAAAACAATACTTAGATAAAACGAATTATAGTTTAGGAGTGGCGCTAAAACATCATTTCTACGTATATAATGTACTTTAAAGTGACGTCACGCGACAACTCAAATCAATATATCGTCGATAGTATTTGTTTCTGTGAGAAAATAAAAATACGTGTCTAATGATTTAAAATAATCTACCAGACGGACATTAAAATAAAAATTAGGCAGTAAGCCGAAAAATATAATAATTAATTTAGTATGTTTCATGAAAGTTATAACATAAATAAAACAAAAGGCATTATCAAATATAATGAACTTATCTTTTTTTTATTGTAATGCTACGTCCAAATTTGGACGCACAATTACTCAACCTACACAATATTCAATAATCACCTAATCTGCGTCACAACTTCAAGGTCATTAGACAATTATTTGAATAAAGCTCATTACAAAACAAAGTAAACAAATACTATAAAATAATTAATTGATTTATAAAGAAACCATATTTTAATTGATACAAAGAATTCATTACCTGAGACCTGCAACAGCCGTGCACCAGGCCATTGCACATTTTCCACAGAAAATTCCAACATTGCCATAACATGTTCGCCTTTTAAATCAAAAACCTCAACGTTGTTCTCGAACGGACTGGCCACAATCATCCCTTCGTAAGTTATCACTGTAAAAAGATTATTAGTATCAGAATCACATACACTTTAGCAACAAAACCATGTACACTGGTTATAAGGAATAAAATTCAAACATAGCAGTAGGAGATATTAAAATACTTTGACCTTTATATTTTTTTTGTATATAAAACGTTTCCTCACTGTAGGATTATGTCCTATGTCATAGGTGCGTTTACAACCATACAATGTAACATGCACATGGCACCCAGACTCCCATCAAACATTATAGATCACAAAAAGAGTAGCTCCGTGCGGGAATCGAACCGGCTACACGTTGCAACCGTGCACTCAATAGATATTTGGATGAAACATAGCAAAAGATTCTATAAAAATTGTTCTATACTAAGCTAATGGAAGCTGAACACTAACCGTAACATCAGTAATTATTTCACTTAAAATTATTTAATGGAACTCAACACAGAGGACTCCGACATGACAGTGATAATACGCTTCCAACATAATGGGAAAAGAGACAAATACCTTACCTCCACTATCAATAGCTGCTCTAATAACTCCTCGGTTATTCACGCAGAAGTGTGCATAATTCCACTGGTTGGGGCCAGCTCGAGACAGCGCCTGGTACAAATAAAATTATTTCATTGTAATTACCTATATTCAAAGAATCAGTCCGCCAAAGTGCAAATTTTATGTGCAAAAAAAAATGAAAAAGCATATCATCATCGTCACCAACAGCTTATAGAGGTAAATGCCCACTGCTGAGCAAAGCCTCTTATCACATGGAGAAGGTTAGAGCATTAATCACCACGCTTGCTTAAAGCGGATTGGCGATTTCAGACTTATAATTAGATATTATATGCCCAGGTTTCCTCACGATGTAATCTTTCACCAATTGTCAGTGTTGTCTAGATAATCTTAAAAAGTACATATAACT